GCTGATTTGTGGGGAGGCCGGCAGAGCCCACATATTTAAGGAAAAAGTACCATTTTAAAATGGCCTGAGCCCCTAGCTCCATTCCTGCCGCTTAGTCATAACCCCAGGTACTGGCCACATCTCAGCCTCTTTTCTTTGCGGGGGTGGGGGTGGGGGAAGGAATCGATCTCAGCCCAGTGCCCGCGGGCGTCCCTGCGGGCCGAGGGGACGGAACAGATGCCCTTAAAGTGAATTGGGCTGGCTNGGCTCCCCATCCCCCCCTCCCCACCCCCACCCAGGGCTGGAAAAGTCCAGAATCCCAGGATGGGCGCGCCCGGCCCTCAGGACCAGAGCCTGGGGCTGGACCCAAGAGGAGCGCAGCCCTAGACAGGACCCAAATCAAGGCCCTGTGCTGTTGCATCCCCGGCCTGCCTTCTTGGAATCACTTCTCTGTTCCATTTTAGCCGGAAAGTTATGAGATCCGACACTATGGACCAGCCAAGTGGGTCAGCACCTCGGTGGAGTCAATGGACTGGGATTCTGCGGTCCAGACTGGCTTTACCAGGCTCAGCAGCTACGTTCAAGGCAAAAACGAGAAAGGTGAAGGCACTTTACCCTGTAGTTAAATAATCGTGGTTGAGTCCCCTGGCTTATTCTCAGGTTTTAGTTTATGAAAGAAATATCCTTTAGAATAGAAAAATAACCAGATCAACAAAGACTTACAGTTTTCCAACCTCTGTTCCTTGACTGTGTTTCTGCTGGGTGAGTTGGGTCTCTGTAACTAGCCGTAAGTCCTTTCATGGCTGATGCTTGGAGGTCATTTGGTGACTGGTGGGGTGAGAGAGAGCAGGGAGGCATGAAGGCAGAAAGAACACAAGATCCAGAGTCTCAAGACATAGCTTCTGGTTCTGGCTCTTACGCTATTTATATTCTAGTAGGTCACTTGGCCAGTGGCACTTCAGCTTCTGAATTGTGAAAATAAAGAATGGATGGACTATGTGATCTCCATCTTCCTTGCTATCCCGAAAAACTTTAGAATTTAGTAACCAAAAATAGTAGTACAGAAAGTGTTTAATGTGGGTAGTGGATAATTGAGTCATTTAAAAAACATGTTTTTATTGATTTCAGAGGGAGGGAGGGAGAGGGAGAGAAAGAGAAACATCAATGAGAGAGATGAGAGAGAAACATCAGTCAGCTGCCTCCTGCACGTCCCCTATGGGGGACTGAGCCGGCAACCCGGGCATGTGCCCTGATCAGGAACAGAACTGTTGACCTCCTGGTTCATGGGTCACACTCAGCCACGGAGCCACACTGGCCAGGGTCACCTTATTTTTTAAAGATGGAAATTGTCTTAAAGGTAAATACAGGGTGGGGCAAAAGTAGGTTTGCAGTTGTTTGTATGGAAAATAATACAATAATTAATAAATAATACAAGAATAAAGAGTTTTGCATATTCACAACTGTAAAACTACTTTTGCCTCTCTATTTATGTCAGTAGCATAAAGTGAATCAAGAAACTCAGATCACAAAGTAATAGTTGAAGTTCAAAAAAGTAGTGATAAATACTTTACGTTTGCTTTCACGGTCTCCTTTGTATTTAAATATATATTTTTATGGCACAGAGATGAAAATAAAGATGACAGCTCCAGTGATGAGCTACGTGGAGCCGGGTGCAGGCCCGTTTAGTGAGTCTACCATTACCATTTCCCTGTATATCCCCTCTGAGCAGCAATCTGATCCGCCAAGGCCTTCAGAGTCAGATGTCTTCATTGAAGACAGAGCCGAAATGACTGTGTTTGTACGGTAAGTGGTAGGTAATTTATAGCCCTGCTGACTGCTAGTTTCACTGGCCTGCACTCCGTTTAGCTCTGATGCAATTTCAGTAGCCTTTTCACCCTTCCATAAAAACAGGTCTAATGCATTTTTGTGGTGTTTTCCCACTGGCTTAGTTTTATATGTTACCAGGGATCTGTTGCAAGATATAATCAATTCATTTAATGCAGTCTATTGCATACCTTCCACAAATCAGACACAATGCAAATTATAAGCATAAGATTGCCCTTACCTGCCATCTAGTTAAGCCTGAACAAAAATACCTTAACTCCCAACTTCTAGGTCCTGATAACCCCAAACTCTATCCTTTTGTTCCCCAGCACAAGGGATGGCTGCTGCTTCCTGAGGTTATTCCCTCTGTTAGTTTACGGATTTCTTTTTACTTTTTCAGACTTCTAATACCTGTCACACTCATTCCTTATATTAAATTCTCTGTTGAATTTTAAAGAACACACACAGTACATGACAATAGTCTCATCCTGGGGCCCCTTTATTACTCCCTTCGTCTCCCTCTCGTCACCACCGACCTGTTAGAGGAATGTCTGTGTCTGCTTCCTCGGCTCCCACGACCTCCTCCAGCCACCACAGCCCGTTACAGCCCACGCCGCCTCCGCGGAACTGCTCCCGCCACTTCCACAGTGCCCTTGCGTGTGTTACGTAACAGTCCCTTCTCAGGGACCCCTGCAGCCTTTGCATGTGGACCACTGTCCCGATACTTGTCCATCCTATAACCCTCAGCGTGTCGCGCTCTCGTCATTCCTCTCCTCCCTGAACACTCGTCACCCCGAGAATCACTGTCGATGCCTGTTCTTGACCCTCCCGTCAGAGCAGACTTGCTCTAGCTGATCCGTTCGTAATGCCTCAAACACCTTGTCTAACGACTCTCAAACTTAGGGTCTCCACCCAAGTTCCCTACTTGTCAGACATTTCCATGTCGGGTAGGGGTCGGGGTCAAACTCAACAGCTCTAAAAATAGCCTTTCCCCAATTCCCATTTTACACGGACAGTGCTTTTCTTACAGCAGTGGCAATCAAAGCTCCAACCTGTTACTTCATTTAAAAATCTTCGTTGGTGCCCGGCCGGTGTGGCTCAGCTGCTGAGCAGCGACCTAGGACCCGGGAGATCGCAGTTCAGGTCCCGGCCAGGGCACATGCCCAGGCTGCAGGCTCGATCCCAATTAGGGGGCTTGCAGGAGGCAGTATATTTCTGTTTCTATACTTTAAAACCTATGCTTAAGTTTTTATTCTTTCCCCCTCTTTTAATTTAAATCTTTTGGCTCTTTTCTTTCCCATCCCCAAACCCCCCATGTATCTCACCCAAACATCAATGACTCTCTCATCATTGATGTTTCTGTCTCTCTCTAGCTCTCCCTTCCTCTCCCTGAAATCAATAAAGATATTTAGAAAAAGAAAAATCTTTGTTGGTTTCTTCTTGCTTCAGGGTTAGTTCGGGTTGTTCATTCACATTCTGCATGCCTTCTGTATCGTGGCGATCCCCTCTCCCCCACTAGCTGTGTTCCGTAGACTTTCCCCTCTTTCCTGAGCAGGCCATGCCCTTCCCCATCTCTTTACCTCTGACATCAGGCAAGTTACGAGACTTTCCTTGCCAGAATCTCTACATTTGGAAAATGTGTATAATCATAGTACCTACTTGTTTCAGAGGGTTGCCATGATTAAATGAATGAATGTACATAAGATACTTAGAACATGAGATTACTACTAGTTCCAGCTGCTTCTTTCCCTGAAGAGCCCACATTCATCCCCTAGGACTTAGAATGGCACCTGGTCTGGGATAACTTCCTCGGTTTCTCTAATCAGCCAGCCACTCTGTCCTTCTGTTATTCTAGATTACAGTGACCTATTTATAGATAAGAACACAGCANGTCTGGGATAACTTCCTCGGTTTCTCTAATCAGCCAGCCACTCTGTCCTTCTGTTATTCTAGATTACAGTGACCTATTTATAGATAATAAGAACACAGCCNGTTTCTCTAATCAGCCAGCCACTCTGTCCTTCTGTTATTCTAGATTACAGTGACCTATTTATAGATAAGAACACAGCAGCGTATTACTCTGTCCATATCTTTCAGCTCCAAGCAAGGCAGGTGTGTGGGGGGAGGCTCGATGTGTTTGTGTAATGAGTAGAGCATGGATAGATCATTGTAGAACAATATGTATTCAGAGAACAGAAGGTGATTTCTAATTAGGGCCCTCAAGATTTGATTTCAAGGAAGAAGTAGGATCTGGAAACAAATTTCCTTTAGGCAGAACATACCAACAGTTGGCTGTTATTAAGGAAATCAATAATAATTTAGGAGACAAAATCTTCCTTAACACTTGGTTCAGAATTATAATTATCAGTCAACATGCTGATTATTATATAACAGTTCTATCAGTTTATCTTCAATGTTTCATATATATGTGTGCACATAGATTCTAGGACTTATTCAACAAGGATTTAAATGAGACTGTGCCAGGAGGGGTTCCAGGTGCCTGACGGACACTGCAGAATAAAATAGACACGGTTTGGTTGGTACCTTTGAGAGTTTACGCCTTATCTGAAGAAGGGTAGGACTGAGCCTTCCCACTGGCACATTGATAATAGAACTTATGCTAAAGAAGGCATATTAGGGATATATTTGGTTCTCTGAGTTTCCTATTCTTAACCTTCAAAATCAAATTCATCATGTTTGCATGTCAGCAACTCAGCTAAGTGTGTGTCCTCTCATGATTTAATCTCAGGATATTTCTGTTTCTATACTTTAAAATCTATGCTTAAATTTTTATTCCCCCCCTTTAAATTTAAATCTTTTGGCTGTCTTTTCTTCCCCCTCCCCAAACCCCCCATGTATCTCACCCAGCTTTGACCAAGTTACTTTTCTGTCCAACATCCCTTAGAGATATTTTGAGAGGAATCTTCAAAGGCTTTAGGATGCTGGTATACAAGGTTCCTTCTGGCTTGGCCTCACCCTCCTGAGCTCACTTGGTGCCTCACTATGAAAAAGCTTTGCAGTTTGGGACTTCTGTTCTTTTTCTTACCCCTCCCCTCTCTCTGCCCAGCAAAAACATCCTCCATTCCAGACCCAACTCAGATCACAGCCCTGATCTTAATTTAATCATATACTCAGTGTTCCCAAGCACTAACAGACAGTTGGTCCTGTCTCTGTTAAATCTCTTCTCAGGCTCTATAGAGAGAGCTGCGAAAATGTTTGTCCCTTGCTTTAGACTATAAATTCATTGGGTCAAAACTATATTATATTCATCCATCAATCAGTGCCTACCCTTTGCCCAAGGGGATGAAGAAAGGGGAAATGTTCGAGAAAACTGAAAGTCTGGAAGGGAGGCTTCTATGCGGGTTTTGGCGTGGTCCCCTGACCAGCAGCATCAGTATTCTTGGGAGCTTGTTAGAAATACAGACTCTCGGGCCCCACCCCGGACCTCCTGAATCTGCATGTTAGCAAGAGTCGTGTGCACGTTAAAGTTTGAGAAGCACAGAGTTAGAGGACGAGATGGTGTGACTTCCAAATCCACCTGCCAGCAGACGGGCCGCATGCCTCCTCCTAGCTGTCCTTGGCGTGCTGAGGTCACACTGAGGCGGGGAACCAGAGGAAGGGAACGCTGGTTTCAGGGGCCGAGGGGTGGAGCTTTGACACCGCGTTATCCAGCTTCATTGTACCAGCTCCTGCTCTTCTTTTCAGGCTGACATTGGCGTCGGTATTAAAATCATTCCCGGTTATTTCTGTTCTCCCTTGTAGGTCTTTCGATGGATTCTCTAGTGCCCAAAAGAATCAAGAACAGCTTTTGACATTAGCGAGCGTTTTGAGGGAAGAAGGAAAAATTTTCGATGAAAAGGTTTACTACACTGCAGGCTACAACAGCCCTTTCAATTTGCTCAATAGAAATAATGAAGTGTGGCTGATTCAGAAACATGAACCCTCCAGAGGAAAGGAAGGAGACGGAGAGAAGTAGCATCGCCAGGGGCTAAGCTGTAACACACGTGTCGGCGCACCTATAAGTAAAGCGTATGTCTAGCATCTTCCACCTGAGAGTACTGACATGACTCGAGCTTATTCCCAACGTGCCTTCTCAATGCTTGAAGCTTTATCGAGATACGCAGATAACGGGGCAATATTCTACACACACGTAAATGGGTCGCAACCCTGGTGGTCTTTAGCTCTGTGAGGCTCCAGGCAGGTGTCATGATGCCTCCCCTTCTTCACTGTATCACAATCATGTTGCCTTTTTCTACTTGGATTTGTGTCAGTTGGATGTTATCCCCTCCAGGTAGTATCAATAAAAATGTTAAAGATTTACTTACCTTGTGTGGGACTAGTAGGCAGGCAGGCCTGGAGAGGTGCAGTTAGGGTTGGAACACAGATCAAGCTGCTATTATAGTCTGAGTCCTCCCCATCTGCCCAAACTCGCACAGTCCCCAAAAGTACTGATCATATATTGTGACAAAGATTTAGGGACTTCCTATCCTATTTTGATATTCAGTAAAGTTTGTATTTTTCCTGAACAAATGTATACAAACATATAATTTTAAAACTCACTTTAACTTTTAAGTTATTTCATGTAGTCTTTCTGGAGGTCCTATAAAAATGACTAATAAGAGTGGGTTGCCACAAAATCAAGGAGGTTGACATTTTCACCTGTTTTGGACAATGCTCGTCCTGGAGAAGATGACGTCACATTCAGATCCCTAGGAGCCTGTCGTGGGGAAGGACATTAGCTTTGCCCGGGGCTCCTGGAGGGTGAAGAGAAAAGCAGGTTGTCCGAGTGGAAGAGAAAAGCAGGTTGGAGCTCAGGAACTTCCCAACAGTTAGAACTGCCCATGAATGACACTCCTTCCAGTTCCCATCACTGTGTGGTTTAAACGGGAGCCATGGGATCACTTAGATAGGAGATCTGAACATCCAGTGGATGAGAGGATGGGGCCGGAGGAATGCTCAAGGTCCCTTTAACCCCAACATTACATAATGTCTCTTACAATTGATCTCCCTAACCTGGATACAATGGACTAACACACCTACAGTTAATGGTTTCCGTGGCTAACGCTATGAATTGCCTTCTAGGTGTACCATCCCAAGTGCTTTAGCTGAATTACCACATTCAACCCTCAGAACACCGCTGTGTGCCACATTGTATCGTCTCTAGTTTACAGATGAGGACACTGAGGCACAGAGATGTTAGGTCACTTGCCCCACATGAAACTAAGGACAGAGGCTGGTGGGAGCCCAGGCAGGCTGACTCCTTGGTCCATGCTTTTAAGCACTACGCCCACTTGCAGATAGCTGTGGAGATGGGCCAGGACTGCCCGGAGGGGCTCTTGCACACCGTGCGTGCAGTCAACACAGTTATCACCTCAGACGTACCTTGTAGACCGTAATTTTTTATAGAAAACAAGCTAGGTTTCTGGTTCTGGAATTATAAATTTTAAACTCATGGGCAAATATTTTCCAAAGGTATCTGCTTGCGTTGCCTACTTATTGTTTTTTTTTTGCATTTTATGCTTGCCAAAAAGACACTAAGTTTCTTTTTTAGCTTAGTTACCATCACCAGCTGCAGAACCCCTTTGAGGCCTCCAGATGAGTGTCCACGGTACTAGCCCCCACTGGTATGAGGTAAATATTTCTAACACGTTCTCTACAGTCCTACATAAAACAGGCATCTCTTATGCAATAAATCCCATTTTAAATAAGAGAAGCATTTATCTGATTATCAAGATTTAGTTGGAATCTGAAACATGTTCAGTAAAAAAATCAATTTTGTACCACTCAAGTCCAGGTATCCCATTTTCCCTCCTCTTCCATAGTTCGCAAATGAAAACATTTTTCAGCCTGAATTGATCAATCCAGAGAGTAGTTCTTATGGCAGTGAATTAGTTATTTTAATGATGTGGCTGGCACCGATTACAAAATATCCCTTATGTCAACATTTCTTTTGAGATTTTTCTTCTCTTGTCTATAGGAAATTCATGCCTAGACTTTGTCTTAAGCTAAACCTTCCACCTTTGCTGTTGGTCTCATTTGTGCTCCACCGACTGGCCCCTTTTCTCTCCTCTCAGGCTCACCCTCTCCACATGCCCCAGTCTGCTTCCCTGCAGGCTCTGACTCTGCCTGGCCACAACCCACCCGCAAAAACAAAATCCCAATCCCCCCTGGACACGTAGATAGAACAGTAGTTCCCATCTCTCCCTTGCTGAGATTATCTAGTTTCTCTGGAAAGAGTTGTCCAAGGGCTTCCTTGGAGTTCTAGGTTTGGAGAGGTATCTCAGGGACCCTGACAGAAAATTAAGGTGGCCAGTCCTCCCCCCCTACCCAATGTGGAATGCTTCCCCACAGAGCCATCCACATTGGTCTATGTGTGTGTCAATTTTCATATGATTATATATTTTCAAAATCTTAAAACAATTCATTTAAACCCAGTGCATTCATCCATTTCTTTCATCACTTTACCTCCTAAAAATCTCCTTTCCCTCCACCCCAAACATTTCACTGAAATGTCATTTATTTTCATTCATTCTTAAGTCATTATGGAGTCCTTACTATGTTTCAGTTCATAGCCATGGGATCTGCTGTTCCTCTCACTTACTGTGCCACCTAGAAGCTGCTGGCCTGATAGAACACCGAAAAGACCTGCTTTGGTGCCTGGTTGGAGACAATACCCTGTCAGGATGGAGCACCATCTCCGGGACACAGTTTACCTACTAAATCAGAGAACCCATATGGTGCTGTGTCCGCAAGAGGAAGGACACATGGACCTGGGAAACAAGGGGTAGGAGGAAGAGTGACTCCACTTGCCATCACTCCCAGTGAACCACTAAGGGCTGTAACACTCTCCACCCCACAGCTCTAGGCACTGCAGAGCCAGACGTCCTTGTTCTCAAAGGTGCACACCCTCCCCAGGCAGCACAGCAAAAGTGCCATTGAACTTCAGCCCAATGCTCTCACTTGGGCACCTTGGTGGCCTTTGTCCAGGGACCAGCAGGCAAGAAGAGTCACCATAATGTCAGGGATAGTCAACCCTGAACTGCAGCAGGGGTAAGCTGCTGTTAAACGATGTGAGGAAATCAGAGGCCCACGTGGGGCACCCCTGCCTAATTGTACTGACGTCCAGGAGCTCAGAATCCCCTGGAATGAGCTTGGTTCACGCCATCAGGAAAGCCACCCAGACCAGCAGAGGTGACAGTTGAGGGTGAAAGGAATTTAGAGTGAAGGAGGGGGGATGGTGAGTACCAATTGTCATCTGGAGACCACCAACTACAGGAAGGTGCTGTAGATGGTCCCACCAAAATGTTCTTCTAAAGTTTCTCCTCAGGGAGAGAAATCCACCAGAGCCCTGGAGGAGTTTACAGGGAAGTGGATCCACATGGTACAGGGGTGGACTGGGACAGGCATGGAGATGTGCCACTTAGGTCCCCGTTCAAGGGAAGACTTGCCATCCAGCTGCAGGAGGTGTGGCTAGCTGACATGACAGCCTCCAGCTGTTGGCTTCACCGGGGCCCACCTGAGCTTCCAAGCTGAGCTCATGCTCTTCTCAAGGCGGGAAGGGTTGGTAGCCACTGGTTTCACTAAGCTGTGGAAATCGAGGGCACATTTTCCTCGGGGTGGCCTCTTGCCAAAGACCAAGCAAGGCAGTGGTAAAGGACCCAGCTGCTCCTGTCCAACACAGGCCCCTCCAGCGAGGGACCTTTCCCCCGGAGCCCCCATCACACTGGCAGACTTGTATGCTCAGGACCGCAGTCTGATGGCTCTCCCTGCCTTCCTCCCTTTTCCTTTCAAAGGTGTCACACGGCAGTAAAACCTTTGACAATCCTGTCTGGGTCTACTTCCTGAGGAGACGAAATGGGCATAGAAATACAGTAACTTTTCTTTACAGCATTAAAGGCTGAGGCAGGAATAGCTTCTATTCAGGGACAGAAGAGAATGCATGATGGGAACAGGGACAGGTCGTAAAGAGGCCTTGCGGGCACAGCAAGGAGTCAGGATCCTACTCCAGTTGCAATGCCCCATCTTTGGGGGTTTGACGTAGGGGAGTGCTACACATTTTGCAGGGTGGATTGAGTGGTTGAAGGTGCGCAGTAAAGATGAGGCCAGGTGGGGGCTTTTGAAATAGTCTGGTCAGGAGGTAATAGTTTGGGCCTAATAGGTAGCAGTGGAACTGGCATGAAGCAACTGGACTTGTGAAATATTTTGGCAATACGGTTGACATGACTTGCCTATGGTTTAGATATGGGGTGAAAAAGAGGCCACAAGGATGAGCCTGGATATGGGGCCTAAGCCACTTGTGAATTGTAATGCTATTAAGTGACAAGGTAAAGACTTGGGGAGTAGGGTTTGGATGTAGTAAGGTTAAAACACCTCTAATGCAGGTTCTGAGTAGGCAGTTGATACACTAAGCTGGAGCTCATGGAGGAAGTCAGCAGAGGAAATATTCAGGAGTTACTAGTATATATCGTATTTAATGCTATAGGATTAGATGTTGTCACCAGGGGAGCGTGTAGCTTGTAAAGAAGGCTAAAAACCAAGCCAAGTCATGTCATTCCCCTCCTTAAAAACTCTCGTCATTCCTCAGTACTATAAAACCAAACCCAGATTTTTTAGAATGACATCCCAGGCCCTCTACATTCTTGCTCCAGCAGACCATTCCAGTCTCACATCCCACTGTTTTACTAGCATCTTCTTTTAGCTACGTGGCTCCCTCTAAACGCTTTGCTTCTGTGCCCTTGCTCATGTCATTCCCTCCATCTGGAACGACTTGCTCCAGCCAACTCCCTGTGCTTGGTGATAAAATCGTCTGTGAAGTCTTGGCTCAGGTTCCCCACAGCCAATGCCTCCCCCATCTACCTAGTCAGAGGCAGTGACATCTTCCTCTGAGGACCACATCCCTTACCTGCAAAGTCAGTGAAAAATGATTCACCCAGTGAGCCTGCAGGGGGACAGCCCAAGGCTGGTGCAGTGACTGGATGTTCTCAGCGGGCCAGGCTCCTTTCCCCTCTGCCTTCCACATGTGGCTTCCATCCTATTGGTGCTTCCAAGGTTGCAAGAGCACTGTTCCTCCCGCTCCCCATCTGTTCTAGGGCGAAGAGGAGGGAGGCCACAAGAGGAGGGATGGCACCTGCATGAGGAAAGCAACTTTCCTGACAACGGCGGGGGCCAGGGGCCTGGTATTGCTTGGATGCGTCGCCAGCCTCAGCCAAGGCGGGTGCTGTTGGTGAGAACGCCGTGGGTGGGTCCCGGCAGGGTTCGCCCTGAATGTTCTCCCTTCTCTACTCCAACACTGAAAGGTTTCACCCGATAGTTCATTGTTTATGCGTCTTTTCCCTAGGTTTGAAGTTCCTTAATGATCTCTCGTCCACATGTGTTGATCTTAAACACGCATTCTAACCTAGGACATTAGAAGTATTTAATAAACGGCTTTTTTTTTTCATTGCTTGACAAATGACTACAAATTGCTTCTAGTCTTTGTTCTGTAAATAAAGGTGGAAGGTAGTTTAAGCAGCTCAGTGAAACAGACTACAGTATAGTAACTGAATAACTTATTACAGAAAAACAGACCTCAAGAATCAGGTCCAGGCTTTATCCAAAATTAACACCCCCTCCTGTCCCCACAACAATATCCTAATATCTGCCAAAGTAAATTATCCTGCTGTGCTTATTTCATGATAAAGCCTCAGCAATGTAAATCATTCATTCATTTAATGTACTGAAAACACATTAAGACAGACCCAATAAAGTCAATCCCGAGCCTCAGCTGTCCTTCCAGAATATCCACCAGAGCTGGGTGTGGTGTTGGGTGGGGAATGAGAGACACAGAGCCACCACCTCTTCTTTCCTTGTCCTTGTCATTCGTCAAACACACAGGCTCATCCGCACATGAGAAGCAATGGTTTCAATCAATACTCTTCAGAAACAGGAGGGCAGAAATCACACTGAAGTTGAGGCTGCTCCCAATGGACAAACTAAATGGGCATTTGTTTCTCTCCCAACTTTTAGAAAAACTGAAGTGGAAATAATTTAGGCCTGGGGCTTGTGTCTGACTATCTGGTACTTAACAGTCTCGGGGTACAAGGCAGGGTCAAGCCTACCCTCTCTGAGCTTTTAGGTATGACATGATCCGTTAGCAGCGGCTGGCCCCACAGCAGCAAAGCTGACGATGCCATGTGGTTCAGGAATGAGTCTAGGCTCGTCTCCCTATAGTTCATCCACGCCTGGGAAACGTTCCTGCATCTCTCCACATCACAACATCTGAACTATCAGTCAATACATTATTCATATTTTATTCAAATCCACAGGACATTACTTAGAGTTGTTTTTCCACATGTCCTTTTAGATGGCATCATCCACAGTGTCTGTGATGTTCCAGATCTTCTCTGTTAGGTCCCACCTCCCACAGGCACCTTCTGGTCTTCACTGCTGTTCTGTTCGCATCCAGCAAAGCACTCAACAGCTCTGTACAAGAAGACCTATCTCATTATTAAAAAATGCATGTACTTACAAAAAGAAGTAACGTTCAAATGTTTACTTTACAACTGTTTTATTCAAAGCAAATTTAAAAACCTAATATACTTTTTCCGTTAAAAACGGTTTTTTAAAAATATTTTTATAATTAGTTTTGATGTCGTTTATCTCACCTTAAACATATATGATCTGTATATTAACTTAAAATTTTCTGGTAGCTACGTACATTCTAATCTTTTCTAGGTAGCGACGAGGAGATTTCATATTCAAAAGCCAACACCACTTTTCTAAAATTAAGAAGAAGAAAAATCCTTGTAGTAGGCAACTGCCCCAAAAGGTAAAAAGCCATTTGCTTTTGGCCAAATGTCAGGTCTTGATTTCTGGCTGTGTCTGAAACGAAGTGTTTTGTTTTCTTCAGAGAACAGAAGGAGCCTTAATTCTTTAGGTGTTTTTTCTCTTTTCTCTCAAAGACTTGTCTAAACTGAGTATCTGAGGTTTTACTGTATAAACCTTATGATGATTTGGCCTGTGTGGTCCAACTTTTAGATGACATTTGCATACCAGAAAAGATGACAACAGGCAGCTGTCTGGTATGTCATCCAAGAATTACAGCATTGCCACCTAGGTCCTTCTAGTGAAGGAGACAAGACTCTGATTTTATTTCACCAACAAATCAAGTCCAGGGTAGTTGGGAGGGAGCGGGGAGAGGGGTCACAAGAATATGACATAAGAATAAATGGTTCACATACGTTTCCCCATGTCTAGAAGTGTTAACATTCTGACTGAAGAAGATTAGAAGGTAATTACCTAACTCAATTATTTATAAAACATAAAAACGCACAAACCACATGATGCAAAAAAATCTTTTTAATCTAAAAACTCATTTTTCAGGGCTAATTAATAGCCAAGCCCTGCCATTTTTTATCAGTTTATTAGACTAACAAGAGCTATTCGGCATTTTCGTCCAAGTAAGGTAATATATAATAGATTTCAATAAACCTCTCTCAGTGAGGACAAGATACTGCAGGCAGTTCAAGGAAAAATAGCCATAACTTTTTCTTTGGTGTAACCAAAAGGGTATCCAAAAGTTAGCAAATGTTGACGTTTCAAGTGATAAGAAATTGCCAAATGGAAGTTTAAACTCTGGTAAAAACAGTTGTGCAAGGAAAAGCTCCGCCCACAGTTCTGTAGTGCAAGTTTTCAAATCTAATTCTGAAAAATAGTTTTCTTTCATAAGCAGGAAACGAATTGCAGCAGTGTATCCCCCGCCCCTCTGCCTTCTCTCACTCCCACCTTCTGCACGTGCAAACCCTCATTTCAGTTCTCGGAGGTCCTCGATCCTCAAGCAGGAAATTCAGTAAAAAAATGACCCCCGTTTCTAAGTCAGGCTGAAGGTTGTCTGTAGCTGCACAGCAGCAGGCTCTGAGTTATAGCGTTGCCCCTTCCACATGTCTGTCATTTTTACAAAAAAGAAACAAAGCCTTTTTTCCCCAGAAAAAAGTACCTGAACCAATTAGTCACTTAGCCCTTTCCCAGCCTTTTGGGTGAACCGCGAAAGCACACCTGTGCACACACCCACGTGTTCTGTGCACTCAGAGCCAGCAAATCTATCCCCTCTTAGAAGTGATGGTCCCCTCCTTCTGGAATGCGCTCATGTCCAGAACCATGCTTCTAAAGCGCTCACCACCAGTCCAGAAGCCTCCATCACTCCACCTAGCATAACTGTCTTTTTTCCTCATATGCCTGTACATGTTGTTTGTGTGTGCCTGTGTATTTTTTTACCTAAAAAGTGTTCAAAATGCACACATACACACCTGTGCACACCCCCCCAGCATTTAGCACACACACAAACATCTTCCCCAGGAAGCGCTTTCAGAAGTTAAGCTTCTACTTGCTTTTACGCCCCAGGGCAAGTGCCAAGTGAGTCCCAAATCACCCTCACCCACCGCGGGCGGGGCAGTGCCCGGGGCCCCAGCACAGCGCCAAGTGGGCTCCCCGGGCAGGCAGGGGAGGGCACCCCGCAGGCTTCCTGGAGCGATGTGCTGTGCGTCTCCCCCGTGTCATGCGGGAGGCTCCTGTTCTCGCCCCTAACTCTCCTCCCTCAGGGGACCTCCACACTGTTCCGACGGATCCCTGCCCTGGGCACTGACTGTCCCACCGGCAGGGCCACAGCGCAGGCTGTCCTCGTGCACTTCTTCCCCCGCCAGCCCGTCCAGCGAACAGCCCCTGGCCGCGCCCAGGGCACAGCGAGCCCTGCTGTCTCCAGGCTCCGTGGCTTCCCCCTCGCCTTCCGAGATGACGGTCATGGGGCTGCTCTGGATCCGGTTCCGCACGCTGTACCTGCTGCTGGCCGCCGACGGTGGGGTTCGGCTTCGGCCGTACCTGGGGCCTGAGAAGGACAGGCTCCGAGGCATCAAGCCTTCGTTCTTGGCCCACTCCTCCTGGGCCCTTCTGCTCTTGCTTGGGGAACAGCTGGATGGGCTGTCGGGAGTGTCCGGGGAAGGCTCCGACCTTGACCTCTGGAACCTAGGGTCTGTGTTCTTGAGCATCTCAGCTGCGGACATGCGGGCGCTGGTGTCTGACCGACTCCCCTTTTTCAGCAGCAGAGCTTTGAAGTTGTCACTGCTGGTGCTGCTCTTACGGACACTTCTCTGAATTGATCCCACTTGCTTTGGGGAGGCGAGGCTGGGGGCAGCACCCGTGGGTGTCACTGGTGGGGAGGGAGAATGGTTTCGGGTGTGATCGTCCTCTGAATCTTTACGGCCAAGGACTTTCCTCTTGGATCTGAGATTTAATAACATTAAGATACAGGTTACTTCCCAGTGGTCCACCGGATGGCAGCCACAACCACCTGCCTGTCTTACCACATTCAGGTCTCCAGCTATTATTTTTGCTATGTAAACCTCCAAACACCCATGCAAACAGAACAGCTCATTGTATTACCATGTGTGCCCATGACCCAGCTATAATTATTAACTCATGGCCCCTTTTCTATGAACTCCACCCTCAATGGACTACTTTGAAACAAATCTCAGACATCGTAATAACTTACTTTGTATAGGACCATTTCTACAGCTTTTAATAACTGCCATTTTTTATTTAATTCTCCTACACTGGACTGATCCTGAGTGGATTTCACGGTGCTGGTCATCCTTTCTTTCTACTCTTCCTTTTTCTGTTTGGAGCTGGCACTGAACAGGCCTAATAGATAAGCCAACTCCCAGAATATCCTGTCTACTGAGACAGGCCCCCACCCAGGTTCTAGAACAATCCTGCAAGAGTCTGACATAAAACCAATCTTCCCTGGCTCTTACTGGGCCATGTGTCAACTCCTAGGAGTCCATTGGTCCAGAAAACTGAAGCAAACCTTCCACACCAGGTCCTGTTTCCTGACTGACATCAGAGGACCTGTAGCTGATGAAGAAAATGTGAGGGAGGTGGGGAGAGTATGAAAGAGGAGGGGCCTTCGGGGAAAGTGATGTGTTTCCTGCGGTATTTCTTGTCCTCAGTCTCTAAGAATCTCCCTGTTCAATGTGTTTTCTGCTGAGAGTGAATCAGAGATAATACAGCAGTTGAGCCAAGTGACCTCTTGCTGGTATTTTCATAACAACCACTCAGTGTGCAAGGAATCCCTTAGCGGAGTACAGGTGACCTTGCTTTAAGAAAACTCGGTACATTTGATAAGTCATGGGTATATCTCATTTTCTGCTTTAAAATTCTAGAATATGCAGCAGGGAGAAGTTGAGAGGATGCTATCTGAACATACAGATTAAGAGTCGAATTTGAGCACTACCGGCTTCTAGCTGTGTGATCTTGGATCAGTTACTTGTCTATACTGCACCTTAGTTTTCATACTTGTAAAATGGGAATGATGGATGATCAGCCTCACAGGCCTGCGAGGATTCGGTGCGATAAAGCACCCCTGCAGTCACATGGACCTGAGTTCAATCCCACCGCTCAAGTGACCTTGCTCAGTCTCCTGGGGCCACTTAAAGTTTCTGATTCTGTTTCCTACATGGAAAAGGGGAATAACAGCAGGTACCACATACTTTATCAATCAAGATGAATGCAATAACAGCCATAACATGTCAGGCCCAGCATATAGGTGCTTAATAAACCTTTGAGTGTCATTTAGGAAAATATAACTTTCCCTTCCTGCCACCAAGTCAGGCTTCAGTGCTGTTTTTATGTGGCCTGCACAGCAAGGCACAGGGGAGGGTGAGTCAGGATGGCTGTCCCGGGCTGGGTGCTCCCAGGGTCCTCTCCATGCTTCTGGCTAAAAAGAAGCTACCAAAGCAGAAGACAGGACATAGTAAGGACCTAATTCAGAGGCTGAAGGGTGGCCACACCTGACATGGCACCAGTCCCCTTGGTAATGCAGAGCCTGGCCTATCATATTTGGGTTCAATGGTCCTTCTCAGCTGTCAATTAAAGCAATGCTCTAGAGTAAGCTACTGAGCAACTGATGGAAACCACAGAAATAACAGCATCTCAGAATTGCAGAGCTGGAAAAGACTTTAGATGGTTTAGTCTGACCAGAGGAGGTAACTGAGGTCTAAAGAGAGAAGTCACACAGCTGAATGTAAGAACTAGGACCTGATGGAGTAATTTTCCATTTCTAGCACACGGCCTCACAATTTCTACAGGTTGCGCCCCAAAAGCAGCTCTGCTCATCCCATTTTTGCATATCTTTTGCTTGGTTTTTCAATGAAGAGGGTGTGTCAAGTGCCATACAACAAGCCACAGCAATATTTGATTAAAGCTATGGCCTTTCATTATAGATTCAGAATTAAGAGAAGGGATAAAAATTTATAATAGTGTTGTTTTTGAAGAGCAACTGCCCCCTAAAATGAGAATTAAATCTAAATATTTGAATTCTCTGCATGTATGTATGTACACACACACACACACACACACACACACACACACTGTGTATTTTTAAAGAAGGTGGCTGTAAAAGGTGCTTAAACAGTTAACTCTGGCTTGAAAACTAATTACTTCAATGAATATAAAAATTTCACACCTCAACTGGTGTTCTACATTTTCCATCTGGCTTCCAATCTGAAGAAAATTAATTTGCATTCTAAAACTTGAAGGCTGTGTTTCAATTTAGATATTCTTTATTTTAAATTATTAGCTTAGGTACTGAAGGGGATATGAAATAAAGCCCTAAAAGTCACAAACTTTAGGTGGATTTTTAAGATGTCTACTAATATATCATCAATGCTAAAATAAAAACTAGCATGTGTCCTGGCTCTCTCTTGGCAATCCTATCCTAGTCAGCCTGTAAGGCTACCATGCGTACACAGAATAATTCAGACAGGCTGATTTCTACATCTGCTGTAGATATAATTATAATTATGCTCTAGATATAATTTTCTAGTAGGAGAAACCACAAATTTTTCAGGGCCTTAAGAAGGTTGCTAAAATAAAATATAGAAGAGATCTTTGGCATATTTTTAGGAAAAGCACATAGTGATTTGGGCCTACAACAGTTGCGTTTCTCACTGAGACCAAGTATTTAGTACACAGAGCAACCAGGCAACGCATCTTTTCTGCGATGCTATTATAAGTATATAGGCCTGCACATCTGGTAACCCAGGGCATTCCATACTAAATGAAAGATGCCGAGTCTTGAAACAACTTCCAAACAGTTCAATACCACTTGGTCTCGTTTAACTCAGAAAATACTTATTGAGTGCTTATTACGTATCTCACATGGTCAGAGTTAGAAACAGCTGCACAGACCTCCAGAAATGCCACTAATGTTGAGTTCAAAGGAGGCAGCATTGTTCATTTCCCTGTTGCAAGGAAAAATCTGATAACTAGCTACCTTTTCATTCCTAATGAGATCAAAGAGAACGGTCGGACGATGTTAACAGGGCAGTCTGTGGGGTCTTCTGGGATACTATACCAATACTACAGCCAAGAGGTAAAAAGTACAATTCTTCACAAGCACTTTAATTCACCAACTTGGATTTTTCCTCCCAAGTTAGGTTTTATATGTTGCATGAGGAATCTCAGGTAGGGACAGCACTATGCTTTTCCTCCCATGCAAGAAGTTTTGTTATATTTCAAGAATTGGGACAACGGTCATACACAAGGTTATTCACACAATCAAATGATGTTACAGGATTTTTTATTTCAGGAGAGGAAAAAGGGGACCTTGACTTAGGGCAATATAAGGCTTTGGAAGCATAAGGGCCTTTGTAAGAGTTATCTTAAAATACTGTGGTCAAGAAGTCTAGAAGGAAGCGAAGGTTTTATATAGAAAGCACTTGCACATATACAATCTCATCAATTTTTACAATCTCACTGTTGTGAGAGTACTCGGCTATTTACAACCAGAAGAATGAGGCAATAAATAAAACTCTAGTGTTAAATCCTATTCACTCGGTGATCACATATAAAAAGTGTAACACTGCAGGCAGTTATTTAAAAAAATTTTACTCTTTATCTTTTTAAACCAAATAATCTCTGATGCCAGTAGATGGCACTAGCAGCATACAGTAACGAGCGGATTTAATTCCTTTCACTCCTGCTTTAAAAAGATGCACTCTTTTATTGAAATGTTTAAGTAGCCAAAGAAGTTGCTCTATCAAATCCTGTCTTTTCTATAAAATAAAAATGAAAACAACAATAACAATAAAATAATAATGAAGCACCCTTAGGAAAGATTATGTCTTGTAGAGCTACTCTGTGCATCTTAAGTCCGAAGAACAGCACTCCTCACCTTGACTGGACCATGGCTGCTCCAATCCAACTCTTAATACCCTGTTATATGACTGACACACTGCATTTCAGGCCAGCGAGAGCAGTGCCAACCAGAGGCTTCACACTGAGCCTCTGATCTCCACGTCATCATTAAAATTAGTGGAACAAAGTAAAACAGAAACTGGAGTCAGAGGAAATAAAAATATAGAAACACACTAAAATGGATCAGTAATCAAGTTAATGAAGCCTAAATGGGTGATAGAAGAAATCTCAACAAAGAAAAATAAACTGAGGAACCATGTGGAAAGGGGGACTCATGAAGGAGAGGAAAATATGAGTTTTGGGTACCTGTGAATAGCTGCAAAGAGGTCTTCCGTGGTCCGGGGTCGGCTGGGGGTCATCGCCTCATCACTCCCTTCCTCCTGAAGGAAGTCCAAGATCTCCGAGGAAGGGCCGGCCGCAGCGGTCTCCGGCGCCCCAGCTATGAGAAGCGAGCGAGCAAACACAAGATTCATGAGTGACTTGGATTTCAGTCTTCAGCCAAGCTCCACGTTTGCTTCCCTGCCATTCCTGACAACGTGAGAACCACAGGGACAGGCAGTGGGGTCTATAGTCTAATATTTTACAAAGATGGGGGCGCATTATGGCCAAAGCTCATTCTTTTCTGCTCAAGTCTAGAACTAAGCTCTTAAACTGTGTTGTAACATTTCTTTGCAGCTCTCCTATTTAATTGCTATTTAATACCCAGTCTGCTGCAGACCACCATCCCCCACCTCCTTTTCTCTGCCCTTCTGTAAGCTCTACCCTTAGATGCAGCTTTTTAAAAAAATTCACAAAATGCCAAGTTGGTAACCTAAGTGTGAGGCAGCGCAGGGAAGCCACCAACTGCTGGCTCTAATGTGAACATGCACCAACCCTATTTGCTGCGGCTGCACATGGTCGGAGGGGAACGAGAGAGAAAACCAGACTCACGCCCTGGGTCCTGCAGAGACAGGCAGCTCTCCTCCACACGGTCCCCACGGTCCGCACTGTCCTCGGTGCCTGGCTCCTCCTGCTTGGGGGCTGGTGAAGCATTGGGCTGCACCATGGGGACATTGGCTTCCACTCTGCCTGGGGACGTGGATCCTGCAGCTCCTCCCTCAAGGACCGAGCTGCCAGAGTCGGTTTCATCACAACCAGCCCCGGCTGCACAACTCTCTCTGGCCTCTCCCCTCGTGGGGCTGGGCGCCACTCCGCTCACGTTCTCTGCTGGCTCCACTGTGAAATCTCTCTGTGGAGGTGGCACCACCAGGAACAGTTTGGGCTTCTTGGAAATGGGGGGCGGCTTTTTGCTGGGCGAAGGTCCAGGGGCCCTCTGGAGCGGTGTGGTCCCGGGGCCCGGCCCAGCCTCTGCCTCCCCAGCGCCGCCTGGGCTGCTGCTCGGGAGGCCACGCTCGGCTGCACCGTCCTGGTGACCCTGACTCATGATCTTGGCAGGAGTCGGAAGCGAGCTTGTCACGGAGGCAGGCTGACTTTCACTCTCCATTTCATTTATGCTATTTCGGGATTTCAGGAAAGCAGATGGCTTTAAATGATACTGGGGCACAACCGGAGTTCGTTTTTCCTGAGATGCTTGTTCGCGCGACAGTGCTCCCTCGGTTCCTGAGTTCTTCACCGGCCTCAGCTGCACCATCTGCAGGGCTTCTGTGGTTATCAGGGGCATGGGGGGCCTGCCGCCCTCCCCCTTAGTCACGGGCTGGCCAAAGGCCTCCTGGGGGGAGTCTGGCTGGCTCCACTTTTTGAAAGAAGGCCTGGCATCTTTCATCAATTTGGGGTCAAGGGGTGGGGCAGGAGGGGGAGCCACGGAGGGTGCAGACGGTGGAGGGGACAGCACCGGGGCAGATGAGTCCAGAAGGGGGCTATGTGTGGCGGGGGGAGGGG